AGCTGGGTTCTCAATACCATTTTTTTGTCAGAAATATGTGTTTTTATTGAAAACTGATTATTGAAATTGATACATAATTATCACTATTATAGATACTTTATTTTACAACTGATTTTTGAAATTATTTAAAAATATTTTTGCAGAGAAAGAGTCAGGTGTAACATGTACCAGGGATAATGATGCTACAGAATGTGTACCTAATGCTGTTTGTAAGAGTGGAGTTTGTACCTGTAATACTGGATTCTATGATCATAATTTTTCTACCCCTGGTGGGCAATGTGTGTCAGGTAGAGTTCCTTTTTGTTTATTGATTTAATTTCAACTAAATTTCAAAACATTTTGTACTTAAATGTAAAAAAATAAACTAGATGTTGTAAAATAATAAACTAAATGTTGTAAAATAATAAACTAAATGTTGTAAAATGATAAACTAAATGTTGTAAAATAATAAACTAAATGTTTCTTATAGATTTATAATTGTATTAAGGGGATCCATAAAGAACATGGCAGCTGTATATAACACAGAACATAAGGATCAAAAACAAATTTTAGCTTAAAACTCAAGGCTAAACTGAGAACAATTCTGACATTGTCAAAAAAATATAGGGAATTCATGGTCTTTTTTTCTGATATCAAAAACTGCTTATGTAGTTTTGCCCTTCAAAATCTAGATTTAATCCTTATTGCCCATACTTGTATTCACATTTTTTTCATTTTAAATATTTATATTAACGTCTCGACAGTGTTCAAATTGAATTTAAAATAATATAAATTAATGTTAGAAATAAGACAAAAAAAATATAATATTTTACAATATAATTTATTAACGCTGTTCTTAAGATGACTAGTTGTCAAATAACTCTTTATTGGAGAAAATGCTTTTAAATGATATATTTTAACCTTTAAATTTTCTTTATTGAAGCTTTAGAATAAATAGTTAAAAATCCAGTAATAAAATTCTACAAAAAAGACAACATGATCAAAGTTGTCAATGTGTCTGTAATAGAGGTGTTATAATCATTGAAAGATGAATTGAACCCTAAATCATTTTGTTATCTACATTTATTTACAAAAACAATATGAAACAGAGAGAATTCAAGATGGAAAGATTTTAAGCACAATAAAATCTACAAATTAGTCCCCAAGGCTGAAATTGCAAACCGACCCCTTATAGGAGTAATTGCCACTGAATAAATATTTTCACCCATTTTATTATTTTTGGAGAAAAATATACTATATAAAAAGCAATAGTAAATAGAATATATGATCATCATAAAAAGGATCTACAAATAAGTCAAATGAGCAAATTTTTAAATGGCCTCTTTTAGGAATTATTGTCCTAAAAGACAGTTTCACCTATTTTTACATTTTTGCAGATCCTAAAATAGATATCAACGGTAAAAAACAGTAATGCTCAGCAAAGGTTGACAATTCCTTATAACATTTTCTTGTATTATTGTTACTTTTGTATTGCAGAATTGCAGTCAGGAGTGACATGTACTCTGAGTAACCAACCAACAGAGTGTATACTTAATGCTGTATGTAAAAGTGTTGGTGATATAGGATTACAGTGTACTTGTAACAGTGGATATTATGATAGTAACTTTGGCAATACAGGTGGAAATTGTAAATTTGGTAAATATTCAATTTGGTATTTTTAAACATTTTGCACAAAAATGTCAGCATTCACCTCTAAAGCTAACAAAACATTTAAACAGACTTATTAAGAAGGGATATAGTTACGATACTGTTATCAGGTCATTAAAGATTGCGTATTTTGGCTTCAATATTGATTCACTCATAGGGTCTTTGCATCGGAATTAAACACATTTATTCTAAAACCAGTTGTTGGCATGACACGGGTTATATTCTTCTCATATATTTTATGATGGTATACTACTAAATTCCTAACAGGAGGGATTGTGCCTGATATTCATATGATGAAGACATAATCTTTCAATCAGTTTAATTGAGGTCTGGAACTGGCATTTCAGTAACTGATAGTAGTCTGTTGTTATTAATATATTATTGTCATTTTGTTTATTTTCTTTTGTTTCCTATTCTGACATCGGACTCGGACTTCTCTTAAACTGAGTTTTTCTGTGCGTACTGTTGTGCGTTTGTTTTTTCTACATTGGCTAGAGGTATAGGAGGAGGGTTGAGATATCAAAAAACATGTTTAACCCCGCCGCATTGTTGCGCCTGTCCCAAGTCAGGAGCCTCTGGCCTTTGTTAGTCTTGTATGATTTTTAATTTTAGTTTCTTGTGTATAATTCGGAGTTGAGTATGACGTCCATTATCACTAAACTAGTATACATATTTGTTTAGGAGCCAGCTGATGGACGCCTCAGGGTGCGGGAGTCTCTCGCTGCATTGAAGACCCATTGGTGGCCTTCGGCTGATTCTGTTCTATGGTCGGTTTGTTATCTCTTTGACACATTCCCAATTTCCATTCTCAATTTTATGTCACAAATTTTGATACAACATTTTCGAAATATGAAATTTTATGTTTTTATGTTTTGTCTGTTAAAATTAAAATTAAAATTGAAATATTTTTTGTAAGAGAGACGACAGATACCAGAGTGGCGTTCAAACTCATGAGTAGATAATAAACTGACAACGTAATGGCTAAAATGGTAAAAGTCCAACAGAAAAACAATAGTATACAAAATAAAACATAGAAAATTAAAGACTGAACAACACGAACCAAACCAAACACTTGGGTTGATCTCAGATGCTCTTGATGGGTAAGCAGAACCTGCTTCACATGTGGCATCCTTTGTGTTGCATATGTTATTACAAACTCGGTAATAAGTATTCTTCGCTGGGTCACATTCGGGAAAGGGGACGAGATTGTAGTCACGACTCACGACATTAGAAACATATCCAATGTCATCTTTGAAACAGATATTCCATACTGGTCAACCAACTCATGATGGCGTCCGTAAAACTTACGAAGATATGATTTCAACTTCACTATTTTGAACTCTTGGTTTGATAACTGCTTCCTAGTGATAAGCAAGCCTCTATCAAGGAAATAATGATAGGAAAAACAAGCCATGGAATAGTGTAGCAACTTGGAGATATATACTCCTTATGCAGGTGCTGCTCGAATGTCGCTGCAGAGAAATGGATGATTCACAATTGGAAAGCTGAAATCATCTCTTTTGTCGTAAAGCTTTGTTTTCAACCGACCCTTATTGTCAATTTGTATGTGTAAGTCAAGATATGAGACGGAATTTACTGTATCTGTTGTATCCCTTATTTCAAGGTCAATGAGATAGATGCTTTCAAAATAGTCGCCAAATAGATACTGCTAATCCATATGTGTATAACTTTAGTAAAAGAACAAGGACCTTTAATAAGGGCAATCAATAACCAAACGTTTTCTTAAACTGTATGTAACGATGAAGAGTTAGAATCGTAGTGAATATTTTAAATATATCATTTTGCACTGAAGAGCTACAATCAGGAGTGACATGTACCCAGAATAATCAACCAACAGAATGTGTACCTAACGCAGTGTGTGAGGATAAAGGATCAGGACTAAAGTGTTACTGTACCAGTGATTATTATGATAACAGTCCTGGTGGAACATGTAGCCCACGTAAGTCATAATGTCATTAGTTCAATACATGAGTAAACTCTTCAACCATTATGTTTGCTCAATGAATAAGATATATGTTCATTTTTATTTGCATTAAAATGTTTGCTTGAAATTATAGTTACATTAAAATATAGTTTATATGATTTGATTGCATGCTTCAATTGAATGACTTATGGATCTTGATGACTGTTTTGCATCCACGCTAATTTCAGGTAATGCACATGTACAATGTTCAATCTTACAGAAAGATTAACTGCAACGTTAGGCACTTTTTACGAATCAGGTAATGATCTTTGCAAGATCAAGATTAAGTAGCCGTGAAGGCAGTTTCGCCAACTTTATTTTGTTTCATGCCATTAATTTAGTTTAATTTCAAAGGGCGCGATTGTACATGATTTTAAAGAAAAAAACATTTTTGTAGGTAACAAAGTTATATCCATATTGAATTATTATTTTGTTTAAATAAGGGTGATGGCTTTGTCTTTTGGATTGATGGTCACTTTGTCTAAAGGCATTTTGTAACAACTATAAACTATGTGGTTAACATTGGCGTTAGATATCTGAGAAAAAAATGAATTAGTAGTCACAGGTAATAAGTCCGGAAAACATTTTGTTTAACCAAACTTATACAATGGGCTTTGCTCATTGTTGAAGGCCGTACGGTGACCTATAGTTGTTAATTTCTGTGTCATTTTGTTCTCTTGTGGAGAGTTGTCTCATAGGCAATCATGCAACATCTTCTTTTTTTATATTATATACATTTTTCTGTCCATAGTCATCAATATTAGTCTTTTTATCATATCTAAATGTGTTTTTGTTATTTGGAGAATTTGGTGTTTGATTGTTGTTAATGTATTCACAATTTTATAGAATAGGGAAGATTAAGAGTTTAACAAATAATGTTAAACTCTTGTCTATATTTGAAGACTTTCATATGTTGTCCTCTCGATATCTATTGGTTATATTTAAGTCTCCCAAACGAAGTTTGGGAAGACTTATTGTTTTTGCTCAGTTATTATTATTCTTCTTCTTCTTCTTCTTCTTCTTCTTCTTCTTCTTCTTCTTCTTCTTCTTCCGCCGCTTTTAAATTTGAACTTGTCCGCACCCGTTCTCCAAAACCGCTTGTCAGATTAACTTAGGGTTTCACAATATGTTAGACTAACATGTCTAGTGGTGCAATCAGGGTTTTGTTTGTGCAATGGGGTTTATAAAGGGGTACTTTGAGGGGCAAAATGAAAAGAGGGTTTTACTATAGAACCCTATGGGATTTTATTTTTTAAAATTTTCAAATGATTATAAATTGAAAACCGTTTGTGATAGACACAATCTTTTTAATTGAAAATGTTCTAAATGATAAAGCCCTTTAAATGAAATACAGGGTTAGTCCCCCAGGGGTCACCCCCACCCCCTGCCATTTAAGAAAGTTCTAATACCTTGTAAGTGGTCAAGATCCCCACCCCTAAACCATATATATTCTGGTTTGTCATACTAAGATGGTTTGAATGATATACAGGGTTAGTCCCCAGGGTTCATCCCGACCCCCTGCCATTTGAGAAAGTTCTAATATCTTGTAAATGGTCGAGATCCCCACCCCTAAACCATATATATTCTGGTTTGTCATGATAAAGCACATCAAATGAAATACAGGGTTAGTCCCCAGGGGTCACCCCCACCCCCTGCCATTAAAGAAAGTTCTAATACCTTGTTAGTGGTCAAGATCCCCACCCCTAAACCATATATATTCTGGTTTGTCATGCTAAGATGGTTTGAATGATATACAGGGTTAGTCCCCAGGGGTCATCCCGACCCCCTGCCATTTGAGAAAGTTCTAATATCTTGTAAATGATCGAGATCCCCACCCCTAAACCATATATATTCTGGTTTTTCATGATAAAGCACATTAAATGTTATACAGGGTTAGTCCCCAGGGGTCACCCCCACCCCCTGCCATTTAAGAAAGTTCTAATATCTTGTAAGTGGTCAAGATCCCCACCCCTAAACCATATATATTCTGGTTTGTCATGCTAAGATGGTTTGAATGATATACAGGGTTAGTCCCCAAGGGTCATCCCGACCCCCTGCCATTTGAGAAAGTTCTAATATCTTGTAAATGATCGAGATCCCCACCCCTAAACCATATATATTCTGGTTTGTCATGATAAAGCACATCAAATGAAATACAGGGTTAGTCCCCAGGGGTCACCCCCACCCCCTGCCATTTAAGAAAGTTCTAATACCTTGTAAGTGGTCAAGATCCCCACCCCTAAACCATATATATTCTGGTTTGTCATGCTAAGATGGTTTGAATGATATACAGGGTTAGTCCCCAGGGGTCATCCCGACCCCCTGCCATTTGAGAAAGTTCTAATATCTTGTAAATGGTCGAGATCCCCACCCCTAAACCATATATATTCTGGTTTTTCATGATAAAGCACATCAAATGTTATACCGGGTTAGTCCCCAGGGGTCACCCCCCACCCCCTGCCATTTAAGAAAGTTCTAATATCTTGTAAGTGGTCAAGATCCCCACCCCTAAACCATATATATTCTGGTTTGTCATGCTAAGATGGTTTGAATGATATACAGGGTTAGTCCCCAAGGGTCATCCCGACCCCCTGCCATTTGAGAAAGTTCTAATATCTTGTAAATGATCGAGATCCCCACCCCTAAACCATATATATTCTGGTTTGTCATGATAAAGCACATCAAATGAAATACAGGGTTAGTCCCCAGGGGTCACCCCACCCCCTGCCATTTAAGAAAGTTCTAATACCTTGTAAGTGGTCAAGATCCCCACCCCTAAACCATATATATTCTGGTTTGTCATGCTAAGATGGTTTGAATGATATACAGGGTTAGTCCCCAGGGGTCATCCCGACCCCCTGCCATTTGAGAAAGTTCTAATATCTTGTAAGCGGTCGAGATCCCCACCCCTAAACCATATATATTCTGGTTTTTCATGATAAAGCACATCAAATGTTATACAGGGTTAGTCCCCAGGGGTCACCCCCCACCCCCTGCCATTTAAGAAAGTTCTAATATCTTGTAAATGGTCAAGATCCCCACCCCTAAACCATATATATTCTGGTTTGTCATGCTAAGATGGTTTGAATGATATGCAGGGTTAGTCCCCAGGGGTCATCCCGACCCCCTGTCATTTGAGAAAGTTCTAATAGCTTGTAAATGGTCGAGATCCCCACCCCTTAACCATATATATTCTGGTTTGTCATGATAAAGCACATCAAATGAAATACAGGGTTAGTCCCCAGGGGTCACCCCCACCCCCTGCCATTTAAGAAAGTTCTAATATCTTGTAAGTGGTCATGATCCCCACCCCTAAATCATATATATTATGGTTTGTCATGCTAAGATGGTTTGAATGATATGCAGGGTTAGTCCCCAGGGGTCATCCCAACCCCCTGCCATATGAGAAAGTTCTAATATCTTGTAAATGGTTGAGATCCCCACCCCTAAACCATATATATTCTGGTTTGTCATGATAAAGCACATCAAATGAAATACAGGGTTAGTCCCCAGGGGCCACCCCACCCCCTGCCATTTAAGACAGTTCTAATACCTTGTAAGTGGTCAAGATCCCCACCCCTAAACCATATATATTCTGGTTTGTCATGCTAAGATGGTTTGAATGATATACAGGGTTAGTCCCCAGGGGTCATCCCAACCCCCTGCCATTTGAGAAAGTTCTAATATCTTGTAAATGGTCGAGATCCCCACCCCTAATCTATATATATTCTGGTTTGTCATGATAAAGAACATCAAATGAAATACAGGGTTAGTCCCCAGGGGTCACCCCCACCCCCTGCCATTAAAGAAAGTTCTAATACCTTGTAATTGGTCAAGATCCCCACCCCTAAACCATATATATTCTGGTTTGTCATGCTAAGATGGTTTGAATGATATACAGGGTTAGTCCCCAGGGGTCATCCGGACCCCCTGCCATTTGAGAAAGTTCTAATATCTTGTAAATGGTCGAGATCCCCACCCCTAAACAACATAATTTATATTCTGGTTTGTCATGATAAAGCACATCAAATGAAATACAGGGTTAGTCCCCAGGGGTCACCCCCACCCCCTGCCATTTAAGAAAGTTCTAATATCTTGTAAGTGGTCAAGATCCCCACCCCTAAACCATATATATTCTGGTTTGTCATGCTAAGATGGTTTGAATGATATACAGGGTTAGTCCCCAAGGGTCATCCCGACCCCCTGCCATTTGAGAAAGTTCTAATATCTTGTAAATGATCGAGATCCCCACCCCTAAACCATATATATTCTGGTTTGTCATGATAAAGCACATCAAATGAAATACAGGGTTAGTCCCCAGGGGTCACCCCCACCCCTGCCATTTAAGAAAGTTCTAATATCTTCTAAGTGGTCAAGATCCCCACCCATAAACCATATATATTCTGGTTTGTCATGCGAAGATGGTTTGAATGATATGCAGGGTTAGTCCCCAGTGGTTCCTGCCCACCCCCAATGTTCTAGTATCTTGTAAATGGTCGAGATCCCCACCCCTAAACCATATATATTCTGGTTTGTCATGCCAAGATGATTTGAAAGATATACAAGGTTAGTCCCCAGGCATCACTAATGCATATAACTTTACTGGACCAAACCAATTTTCACTGGACGTTGCCCAATGTCAGGCGACCCTGGGAATTACGAATTATGGGAGCTTCGTTTGGGAGACTTCGTAACAGCATCCTGTTACAATCATTTCTTGTTTTATTTAGTTTTTAGTTGTATTAAAGTAAATAACAATTTGGGTTTTCAAAATTTAGTTCCTTGAATGATATTCTTTATTCTTTAATATATTGATGATTTGAAAGGTTTTTTTTCAGAGATACTTGTTGATCAAAGATGTACTAATAATGGACCATCAGATCAGTGTAAAGATTCCAAATCCCAATGTACACTGACATCTGGTAGTTACAAATGTGTTTGCATTACTAATTATTATAATAATGCTGGGACCTGTACTCAGCGTAAGTAGCAAAAAAACCTCTGTAATTTAATTAGATGTATTTTCATCCATCTGATGAGTTTTATCTTTTTATAGTCTGTTTCTTCATGTTCTTATGTTGTACCATTGTACAACGTTAGGGGGTTGGGCACCCGGTAACATGTTTATAACCGCCACATTCTGTATTTGCCTGTCACACGTCAGGAGCTTGTAATTTAGTGGTTGTCATTCTGTCTGTGTTTCGTATTTGTTTTTCATTCATTATTTTCTACATATTTCAGCTGTAAATTTTCTCATTTGAATTGTTTTACATTTGTCATTTCGAAGCCTTTATAACTGACTATGCGGTAGAGGTAAAGACCGTATGGTGACCTATATTTGTTCATTTCTATGTCAACATTTGGTCTCATTAAAGAGTTTTAGCCTTGGTAATCATTCCACATCTTTTGTACCTGAATGGTATCCTGTCCAAAAACAAACTTTAGAGTTTTCAGTACTGTTTACACTTTCAAATTCAACAAAAAAAAAAAACAAATTCCGAAAGTATTCAAGGTGATTCTGTTCAATTCAGCACTGTTTGAAGTGATAAAAACGTTTTCAAATATTTTTCAAATAAGATTGTTTTTCGCCTTGTTTATGAATAGTTCAGCATCTGGATAATCTGTTCAGAAAGTTGCTGGAGCTGTTCTGAACAGTTCAGCACTGTTTGAACACTAGTAGTTCAAAACGTTTTCGCATATTTTCAAATGTCTGAAAAACTAAGCTAGTATTTATTCTATTAAGAATGTTTTCAGCATTGTGTCTGAACAGTTCAGGATCTGGCAAATTTGTTCAGAAAGATTAGATGGGTTTTCAGTATAGTTTAAGATATTTGTCTGATAAGTGTACTGAACAGTTAAGAATATTTTCAGCTTTAGATCTGAACATTTCATCACTAACTTATTTAGTCAGTAAAGTGTGGACCTTTCATAAATTGAAGCAGTACTTGTTTCAGCAATTTCTGAACATTTTAGCTAGTTTTCAGCATTTGATCAGAATTTTAATAAGCGCATTAGCAATTTTTCAGATCCTAAAATTTGTTTCTGCATGTAATCAGCTTGGGTTCATTAACTATTCAACAAAGTTCATCACAAGTTCTGAAATTCCGTTTCACAAGGGACCAGAGATTAAATAGCACTGTAAAGAGTTTTTTTTTTCATAAATGTTAAGATTCTATAATTTTGAGTTAGTATTCCCTCAAAGTAACCAGCTACTCTTTTAAAATTTTATGTAAAAAAGCAGTTAAGGATTTTTTTTAATTTACATTTATCATAATTAAACAATGCACAATAATTGCCCGTTATTCATAGCGGTCTAACACTATGATAAAGACTTTGGCAACTACCATAATTTGTTTACAAGTATCAGTTTGTAAAATATTTATTGTATGAAAAAAAAATCAAAAGAGCATAAAAAATCCATACACCTAATTAAATGGACATTAACAAAGTCAGAATGCGAGGAAACATGTTCAAAAACTTTAAGGTTATATTTTAGCAACAAAAAACAAAAGTTAACTATGTTAATTGGACCTCGTTTGATACTATAACTGACATTGAATTTTTACTAGATAACATTTTTGTTCGCTGTGAAGATAACGTATATCGTCAAGTTATTTGAATTCAAATCGGGACTTGCTGTGCACCACTTATTGTGGACCTTATTCTAAATTGCTATGAGTTAAAATTTATAACTAAAACCAGCAAAGACCAATCGAAACAACATGTGATTCAAAAATTTAATAACACTTTTAGATATTTGTTTGATATATTGGCTCTCAAAAATCACGACTTCAGTATGAACACTTAATCCATTTATCCGGCTGACATGACTTTAAATAAAGGTAAAACTAACATGGAACACTGTCCTTTTCTGGATCCTGATATCTACTGTGGATTCATTTCGTGGGTATCAATTTTTGTGGATTGAGGAAAATTTACATTTTCGTGGATATTTAATTTCTTGGGTTTGTCAATGTCTGTATATAAAGCCTATAGAAAATTTAGAATTCGTAGAATATTTACATTCGTGGTTCACACACGAAAACAACGAACATTGGTATCCAACGAATAATAATGAATCCACAGTATTTCTTTAACGGGAAGCTTGATACCAAAATCTATGATTAAAGAATGAATATTGTTAATTATCATTTTTTAAACGATTACGTTCCCTTGTCACCATCTTATGGTGTTTATATATCTCAACTTGTTCGATTCGCTCGTGAATGTAACAACGTATTTGATTTTTACGAAATGTCGTCTGTTAAGGATGTACTTATGTGAGAAAAAAATAGGACCCTATGACCTTATAATGTAGCTTAACAGAAAAATAGTTTTTATTATTAAATTCTGATAGATGAAATTATCCAAAAGCGACCTATGGTACATGTTTGATGGAGCTTTTGCAGGATCATTGAGGAATATTGTCCAAACAAGAATCTCATATTGCAAGTTTTTTTCATAGCAAACTTTAAAAAATTTGATAAAAAGACGCAATTAATTTTTAAGCTTTATTGCATACTTATTTTGCTGGTTTTTGTGCTATACAAAAAAAAAGTTAGTTGCAGTTTGTTGTTAAAAATAATACCATTAAATGATTACATTAATTTATTTTTTTCAAACCTGTGTTAATATTTAAACATCTTGTAATTGCTTCTTCTAGTAAATACCTCTGTTCTGATTCTACGCATGCTTCTCCAAAACTTGGTCAACTTCATGTTCTCTGGCTTTTAAGGATTTAGTGTCAATACAGTGTACATTCATTGTTGAAAGCAGATTGTTAAGCTGGGTTTCCCCAATACCAGCATGGAGCATTCCTAAATTAAAAGGTAATCAACAGAATTGATAGATTTGTAAATGATTGCAAATATATACACAAAATATGTGACTCACTGTTTTATTTCACAGAGAATAAACTCTACAATATATATATGTAAGATCGACTCAGATCGACGTCCGGTCTCTAATCGACGTCCGTTTCTCAAATCGACGTCCAAATCTGACGTCACAATATAATAAGATTCCAAATCGACGGCAAATGTTATGCCCCTCTAATCGACGTTCGATTTTTGGTTCCTATCGACGTCCAATTTTCTTAAGAAATTATTTAAAAAAAATAGAAGATGTGGTATGATTTTCAATTAGAAAAATATACACCAGAGTTAAAATAAAATGAATGTGAGCAATTATAGGCAACCGTACGGCCTTCAACAACGATAAAAAAAACCAAAAATGTAAGGAATGACTGTAATATTTTTTCTGTCTATGAAGAAATAACATAAAAAATGTGGTGCACACTGAATGACCCGCGTAGCGGGTTATTTTAAAGTGTGCACCACATTTTTATGTTATTTCGAATAGACAGATAAAATATTACAGTTATTTATTATAATTTAATTCTAAATTCCATTTAAAACCGGAGTAAACCATGACTAAATTATGTCTATGAGCTGATGAACTAAACAACGTCAGCCAATCAGAAGACGCGTTACATCCAAAATTAAATTATATGGTAATGTTAGTTATAAAAAGCCGCTACATGATAAAAAGCCACATGAAAAATGTAAAAATATTTTAACTAGAAAAGTAAAGGCCTTATTTAGTGTTAGTGCAGTTGTTATACCCCACGCCACGAAGTTGTGGAGGGTATAATGTTTTGACCCGTCCGTCTGTCCGTCGTCTGTCCGTCCGTCAGTCCGTCATTCCTGTTTCTTGTCATCAAAACTCCTCTAAAACCACACAACAGAATTTCATAAAACCTTTTTAGATTATAAGGACATACTATGTAGATGTGCATATCGACAGGAAATTACG